CACCGGCTGTGTGCGTTTCTTCCATTTCTGGCGCACCGGCTGTGTGCGTTTCTTCCATTTCTGGCGCACCGCTGTGTGCGTTTCTTCTATTTCTGGCACACCGGCTGTGTGCGTTTCTTCCATTTCTGGCGCACGGCTGTGTGCGTTTCTTCTATTTCTGGCACACCAGCTGTGTGCGTTTCTTCTGTTCCTTGGGCTCATTTCATGTCATCCACCATTTGCCCACAGAACCCATCAATATTGCAACCGCTCTTGCAACTTGAGAAACACTGAGTGTGTTTTTTTCCCTTTTGGTTTTCTAACTTCAGGTCTTTTTGCACATATCGCCTCATTTTGTCTACTCAAGCTGCCCTATGAAACTTTCTGTTCATTTCTTTTAATTCATTTCTTCTAGTTGTTCTAACTATCAAGATTAACCCTTGGGAATCCGAACAACAGCAGCCATAACCACTCTGTTTTGAATGTGTTTGGCCCAGCAGATCCCCTCATGCACTGTTCTAACTGGATCTTACTCTGAAGTCTAAGACATGTATATTACTGAGAGAACTTATCTGCAGCTACTGACAGGTCAGAGATGAATTTAGACATGTTATGTCTGGAATAAACATGAGCATTCATGAACGGACGCCCTAACAGAAATACTTTTGACCAACCTTCAAACATGAACATATATAAACATATACTGTCATGGCAAATGAGGACTTTTTCCGAAGGCATGCTGTTACATGTATGACTAACACTTACCTCAGACAGCTGCTGTGGTGTTTAGGCTGCTCTTCACTGTCATGTAATACAGCAATTTCTCCTGACATGGAGGACCAAGTGTTATTTTTCATGAATTGCACCGTTGGATGCTCACTGCATAACTCTTCTCCATTGTTCGGCGGGACTGACCCAATAATTCATGTTGAGGTTCACAGTATCAAAAACAAAACAAAAAACAAAGGAAAGAAAAGCGATTATCAGGTGGAAAACGGCAGCTTTGAATGAAGAAATATTTAGCAGCATTTTAGCACTTCAGCGATGATTAAACTGTAATTTACTGGGAAACATATCTATGAAGCTTGAGAAGGAGGGTGACGAGTCAGTGTAACTGAGAGAGCTAAGTGACAGAGGAGCCCTGGGGGACACTGTGGGATAAGCACCGGCCACTCCTCGGAAACCCTACATAGGGTTGCTATGAATTGGAGCCAACTCTGCGGCACTTAACAACAGGTAGAAAGACACTGGACACAGTATATATAGCATTACAAGAACACAATGGGCTCCTTGAGTCCAGGTGGGAGAGAACTGCTAAGTCAGGAGAATCAACTCAGGTGTCTGTGACGTTGTATCTTCACGCAAAGAAGCTGTTTCTAGGAGGCTGATTCAAATCCAAGTTCCAATGTCTGCTACTTGGGGAACACAAGGGGTTAGAGCTAACATGGGACTCAGGGACAAATGAATTTCAAAAGGGAAGACAGCGCAAAGCAATGAAAACTTCCCTGGCAGCGAGCCAATACTTTGTTCTTCATGGTCTCTGAAGATGGAGAGGTTTGAGTTTATTGGCAGAAAGATAATCAGGTCAAACTTGTAATGAACCGTAAAGCTCTCTACGAGATGCCACAACAAACCCCTACCTCTCAGTGTCTGATAGCGGCACACGCGGTCAATGCTCTCACACTGATAACATTAAAAGAGCGTCAGGGGCTTTGACTCACAAAAGACATGAAAGCCCACTTTCTCGTGGAGAGCTTTGTGTTCAGGGGGAAGCCAGGGTATAGGAGTTCCGTGGATTAAAGGAGTATGCCTGCTAACGTTCACACCCTACCACCATTCCTCAGCCCAAATCCTGGCACAAAATCAACTGAGTACAGTATTTTTGTTCAATAGAGGAAAAGAAAAACCAGAAAGACGCCATGCTTACCTACTGAGTCCAAATTCGACAAGGTTTCCTTCATCACGTCTCTGTAGAGTTTCCTCTGAGCGAGATTCAGCAGAGCCCACTCTTCTGGGCTGAAGACCACAGCCACATCATCAAAGACCACGGAATCCTAAAACATCCCACACAATCTGGGTCAGCAAAGTGACACATACTCCAACATGTACAAAAGGTAAGAGTGTGGCTGACAGTCCTGGGGAAGTGGGAATTCACAGAAATGTGAAAACACTGTGTTCCACAAGCTCTATGACAGGGTACAGCATCAGCCTCTGTCCGTCACTAACAGTCTTCACTTCCCCACTGATCGCATCTCACAGACTTCCAGCACACTGAAATTGCTCCAGAGTTTGTCTGTGACCAATTACATTTTATTCCTCTCTTTATGCAAAGAAAGAAAAAACCAAAATGGATCCAGAAGACACTGAAAGTTGCTCTTCCACATAGATGAGATGAAGCAAGTACAAGAAGTAATTAAATGAAAACTTCAAAGTGTGGCTCCTGAAAACAAAGAACATAATGTGCAAAGACCAAGGGACATAGAAAACCAAGCGGGAAGAGCAAGTTCAGCAGTTCTCAAGAAGTGAAGAAAAGCCTGGGAAGGCGAGGATGAGGACGAAGACGTCAAGGAGAACTGGGATGATGATGATGAAGAAAAGAAAGAAGAAACTGAAGAAAAGCCAGAAGTAAAAGTTTCAGAAAAGAAAAAAATAGCAGTGAAGATCGAAGAAAAAGAACGGCAACAAAAGAAAAGGCAAGAAGAAATTCAAAAGCGATTAGAAGAATCTGAGGAACCTACAGTGCTAACACCGGAAGGACAACCAGCAGACAAACTGAGACTAAAATCATGTCACAATGAAGGAAAATGTCGCTGAAGAAAATTCACAAACAGTTGCAGCAGTACCCCCATAAGGAACTGGCAGAAACGTAGCCCGCTTTCAGAAGACAGCGTGGAATGAGGTTCATCATTACTGATGTCTAAAGAAAATAGACAACATCAGAAAGATGTTTTCTTATGTTTCATTGACTATGCAAAATGCACTACACATTGGGGAATAGAAGAACTTTTCAATAATACCGTTAAGAATGATAATTCCAGAACACTTAAGTGTGCTCCTGGGGAACCTATACATAGATCAAGAAGTGAAGTAAACAAAGGAATACTGTTGTTAAGTGCCCCTGAATCGGTTCCAACCCATAGTGACCTTGTAGAGGGTTTCCTAGGAGCAGCTGGTGAACTTGAACCGCTGACTTTGCAGTTCAAACTGACTTTGTAGTCCAGTGCATTAACGTCGCCATACCAGGACTCCTACCTGGTTTAAAATCAGGAAAGGTGTGTGTCAGGGTTGTATCCTTCACCACACTTATTCAATCTGTATGCTGAGCAAACCATCCAAGAAGCTGGATTATAAGAATGTGGCATCAGGATTAAAGGAAGGCTCATTAACAGCCTGAGATATGCAGATGATACAACCTTGTTTGGTAAAGAGGACTTGAAACACTTCCTGATGAGTATCTAAGTGTATAGCCTTCAGTATGAATTACACCTTAACATATATGTAACAAAAATCCTCACAACTGGACCAATAAGTAACATCATGAAAAACAGAAATGATTGAAACTGTCAAAAGATTTAACGCTATTAAGATCCAAAATCAAGACCCACAGAAACAACAGTCAATAAATCAAATGATGTATTGTATTAGACAAATATTCTGGAAATTACCTCTTTAAAGTGTTACAAAGCAAAGATCTCTCTGAGAACTAAGGTGTACCTGACCCAAACCATGGTATTTTCAATTTCCTCATATCATATGAAAGTGGGACAATGAATACATAAGGAAGGCCACAGAACTGATACCTTTGAATTATGGTGGTTGTCTGTGACACAGTGAACTATTTAATTTGGCTCTTTTATCCCTAACCTTTTAACTCCTACTAAAGGACTCTGGTAGCGTAGTGGTCATGAATCAGACTGTGAACCCTAAGGTCAGCAGTTTGAAACTAGCAGCTGTTCCGCGGGAGAAAGATGAGGCTTTCTGCTCTTGTAAAGATTTACAGCCTCAGAAACCCTGCACAGGGTCGCTATGAGTCGGAACCGACTCCACGGCACATAACAACAATACCAACAAAATGACAGACAGGGTGGGGCCATGAAGACTGGATGTACTTCCTCTTTTCCTGCTGAGTCTGGTAAGAGAAGGTGGGAGAAGATGCTGATAAGTTTCCATGATTCAGGAGAGGGTGGCTGCTAAAAGGTTACCTGATTCTAAAAACTCTTACCGTGCGGATTCATCAGTGTTGTTATCCTGATGGGCATAAAATGAACCATCTCAGAAGCAGGTGGGGGGAATGGCACTAGCAACAAGAAGGAAGAGACAAGAGTGGAGCATATTCTTTGGCCCCAGAGATCCTTGTGGAACCTCCTAGATCCAGGAGACAGAGAAGTTACATTAGAGGGCTAGAGGGGAAGTGGGGGTAAAGTAGGAGCCATGGAGACAGCAGAGCCAAGTGGCATGCTTCTAACCAGGAGGTGATAGGCCCACCGGGGGTATAAAGAATATTCTTGTGGAAAATTATGAATTTTTATATGATGTTGTTATTGCTGTCAGTCAACTATTATTTAAACACATCCTTTCTGTTACTTTCATGGAGATATGTTAAAGTAATGAAATACGACAACTCAGATTTCCCTATAATTTTCTAATTTCAGACCTGATGCAACTGGATGCCAATTATCACTGACTGTTCCCTTCAACAAACATAAACTCACACTCACACAGAGTCTAATGTTATAAGACAACAGAGGTCCCTACCTCTATTTATACAAAGCCTGTTTCATATTGGACAAGATGACTTACAAGTAAACAAAAACGAAATAGTGAGATGAAAAGGATTGTATATTTTCTGAGTGTGGATAATAAATATATATATACCTATGAATATACCCACCACTCGCCTGTCAGATTTGATACATTAAACACTAAAGACCTGTTGCAGACCGTGTAAAGTTGGTCAGAAGTTCGAGGCCCACTGGGCCCGAGTGTTGCAGACAATGCAGGCCACAGGCTCTGAGGAAAAGATTCTGGCCACCGGGCAGTCATAACAAATTGTTTTTCATCTTAGTGTTCAGTTATGTTTTATTAATTCCAAACATGAGCCCTTAATATCCACAGATAAATGTAATATTTTCCTAAAGCCGAGACTGTAAAGGCTTCAAGGTTAAACCTTTCTCCAACGGATTAATTGAAAATAGCTTAGCTACTTCCCAGTTCTTTGTTCTATAGACAAAAAGCCATCCTCCCTGAATCTGTCCCAGGTGCTGGTTATTCAGCAGAGTTCCTGAAAAACCTGGCTCAGGAAGCCAAAACAGTGAGACTCCTCCCAAGCCTTTTGTCCTTCCCTCTCACCTTCCCCCAACTGAACTCAGGGGCTATAGATATGTTAATTGAGCCTGAGAAACCAAGTTGCGGGCCTGGGATTCGAACTAGCGAAGTACAATGTAAAGTTACCTGAATGTCTGGAAAATTACTGATGTTAGCTGTACCTTGTCTTAGTCCCTCCCAGCTTGGTGTGAAGCTCCTCCCCTAAATAAAACAGAGACGCAGGCCGGCCAGGTGTGCATTACAGGTTGGAGGGCATGCAGTACAGTTTGCAGGGCAGTGAGTTGCTGCCTGCA